AAAGGAAGAATTGGATTTGATTGTTATTTTTCGAGAACCTATGCGCTCCTTTATCAAGTCACAAAAACACCTAGCTTGACAGCATCGATGTTTATCAATGATCAGCGACTAGTGAAACCATTATTTTCATCCGTGATATTCCGCTGACTTTCTTTTCAAATCAAACGAGAGATAGATTCTGTATTGGATTACATACAAAAATACTTTTTCATTGGTGACTGAATAATATAATTATTTTTCCTTGACGACGGTGTCATGACAGACAACGAAACAACGTGTAGATTCCTATCAATACTTGGAAGGACAGTAGTTTATTTTTATTTTGAATGAGTAATAACAAGGGTAAAGCTATATGAAAGAACTATTGTAATTTAGAATCCAACAAATACAAAACTTTAACAAAATATAATTTTTTTAAAGCCAGTTCATCTTCGGGACTTTAGCTTTTTGTTTATAAAGTGTAGCAAGTTCAGTTTGAATACCTTTCACATTTTGAATTATTTGTTTTACTGAATAAAATACATTTCCCAATGCCAAACGATCACGCATAGATCGAGTTATATTAACCTGTCGAACAATTTCACTTACTGGCCAATTAAGACCAGTGGGAAGAATTCGATAAACTGCATTACCAGGATAAACATGACGACCTTTTTTTGATTGTTGTATCCACCAGTTCAGAAGAACAGGATAAGATTGTGCTGGTGGATCAATTTGCCAATAAAGTTGAGGTGTCATGTAATCAATTAATCCTTGCTCTAACCACATTTGTGTATCACAATATAAACTATCATAAGATGAAAGACCAGTTATACCTGCTGGTACACCATTTTTCCAAATACCGAATGGTGAAATACCAAATTTAACTTTTGGTCGAATAGCATGCATTCTTGTATACATTGTTTTAATTAAAGTATTCACATTCGAACGACGCCAGTCACCTTTGTTTAATTTACCGCCTGTTTGTTGATATGCAGTATAAGTTGCTGCATCAGGAAATTCGGTTCCATCACTATACGGATAAAAATAATGGTTTCACTAGTCGCTGATCATTGATAAACATCGATGCTGTCAAGCTAGGTGTTTTTGTGACTTGATAAAGGAGCGCATAGGTTCTCGAAAAATAACAATCAAATCCAATTCTTCCTTT